CCACTTGGGTACTCCATTTCTAAGAAAAAGTTCGTCCAAAACAAATGGCGACTAGCTGTTTCACTACATTCTCACTTTCACAGACTTACGCCTTTGGCCTTTTTTTCTCTCTGTACTTCCGATTACGACAAAGAAAATTCGACCGAGTACGAACTGTTCGTTTTCTACAGCTTGGATACATCACAATTTTGCTTTTATTAAGTCAGGCTTGTTCCCCAATTCGACCAGCTAACCTTGTTCTCGATTAACACCAACGAAAAGTCCTGATATCGATTCAGCCATCGGTCAGCAAGCCGTGTCGATGTCGTCAGAGATTCAAGCGTTAGAAATGATCTCGGCAGGCTTTTTGTGTGTCAATAAGTGGTTACACCATTTTTGCCCCAGCCGCTGTTGCCCTCCGCCCTACAAGACGAAACCTAAAGCAGGCTACTTCCCATAAACCAGTAGAAATAACTGGCTTACTAGGTTGGCGATGGTGTTGAGTGCCCTGATGAAAAGACGATGGCTGGAAAGCAGCTAATAGGCCACATGGTTGAGACAGGAACTTCGTAGTAACGTAGGAAACAGGAACACTTCTGCATCCTGAAATCCTTCTTTACAGTTCAGTACAGCACAAGTTGCTGTAACTTCAATACATTTTTCCGTCTTTTAATTTCAAGGGTTTCAGCACGACCCTTTGGTAACTAAATCTATTACCATCGAAGCTGATTCATACCAAGTTTTGGCTATTGAATTCGAAAATATGCAAATACAGCCATAATACCAACAACTAAAATTACGTTACGGTGAAGGGTATAATAATCATGATGAAGCGCTTTTATTGGAAGATATTATCTTATGAGCTTTCTGAACGATAAAGGGTGATTCCAGGGTTATGGATAATCAAAGATGTTATTCCTACATTTCAAAGTTGTGGAAATGGGCGGCAACAGCGTAAGTTACATTATATGTTGTATACATAGGTGTGTGCATCGTGTGAGGTAACCTATCTTTGGCCAAAGGATGGGTAAGTTGCCTCATACCCGATAGTTATAACCACGCTTTAGGGTACGTCCGGTTGAAGGGGTATCCACCTTCGATCGTAGACAAAAACCAGCATCAGCAGTGCCAACTGCTGTTTTGCCATGAATCCCGTACAAAAGCTTTCCGTCATTAGTATTTGGACTGTACCATCGAAAACCTATAATAGTGTCTAAAGATCGGCGCTTGACCGCTAGTAGAGCAGTGGTATTAAAAAATCTTAGAGGATCGATACCGCCATTTGTCTACGGTAAGGTAAACAGCACTTCGGGCATGTTATTAGTTAAAAGCGTATAGTTATGCAAGCTGAGCAAACGATGATGGTCATTCGATTAACGTACAAAGAAAAACGAGTCTTCTCGAGGAATCGAAACCCTGCGCTTCCAGGTCCAACAGCTGACATCAGAGGATAAGTAAACCTTTTTTTGTTTTTTTGGCTAAAAACAAGAAATCTACTTTATATAAAATATATATATATATATATATAAAAAGACATTGACCCAATGATTTATTTGATTTCGTGCCTGGCTAGTGCTTTGACAGTGATCCCCTCAAAAAAAGACATTTGTCAGTTATCATGAGTCTCTTCCATGCGAAAATGCGAGAGGCTGAGGTCATAGAAATGCGACGATCGACTAACAGATGACGATCAGAGGTTGGACTAACTCGAATAACGAACAATTAGCTAAGCAGCCATAGAAACAAATCGAACGATAGTAAAAAGGATCAGTGTCAATGAATGGCGTCGAACTCGAACGACAGACTCACTGACTGTGGTGAACGCGTGACGTGATTTCTGGAATATACACCGATCATCGCAACTGCTATAGGCAAAGGTATTACCGTTGCCCTTATTCATTCTCCATGTATACTATTATACTTCATTTTTTTCCCGCAGATCAATATCTTTATCACCGTATTGTGGTCAATAAATTTAACGATAATGAGAATGAACGATGAATGTTAGAAATTTGACTTTCTATGCGCTGTTCAGCGTTCTCAATGGCCTTAACGTCTAGAAGCGTAGACTCGTTTGAGCGTTCCGATATTCATTATACTACCTTTCGAAAACTACTAATTGAAATTTCAAGCCACGTATGTATGCGGACGCAAATTTGTACGTCACGCGGGCCAGCTAGCCCTTTAAGGTCATCTATTAGAATAGAAAATGTACTGTTTTTTTTTGTCTGTATTGGCCTCGAACAGGTAACTCGACCTTGCCGAGCTGCCCCAAGGGAGAGAATGGCGGAACTAACAGATATTACTTGGTGAGACAATCATCGCTCGTAGACGACAGGCTATTTCGCTCTGGGCAAAGCCGTAATAGCAGAGACATGCGAGTCGTATCGAGCGCGTTGCAGCAGTTAACCCGTGATCGTGGGGTTAGTCCGCAGAGATGAACGCAGTGGCCACGGATAGTGCTTCTCCGAAGTAACAGAACGTCATCCATTTCTAACCATCGGTGTGTCGTCGTTCTCGTAGAACAGCGTCACAATCTGAGAAGGGCCTTGATTTCACTACGAAACACCACGAAGTAAAATCCAGGTGTCGGAAACGAAAGACAGGTAAGACTGAAATTAAGCACTAGGGGTGGCTGGTTCACTATATATTACTAAGCATAATTGAATTAAACCGGTCCTATAGAGGACGGGTCCTAACAAAGGATATCTTAATCGATGGGATGTATTATCGAATTCCGCTATTGGCTATTGACGCGTGAACGATTACCAAGACGCTGAGTTACCAACACTAGTCAGTTCGATTACTTTGAACTATATCGTATACAATTCGTACCTACGTTACTTGAAGCTGCCATTGCAGATCCTGTGGCTGTCCTCGAGTTTGTTGGAAGTGTCGAACGTGGAAAGCGAAGGTCGTCCGCAGATGTCCACCTTGATACATTTGATTTTGCGCTGCTCATAGTTGGTCGTTGAGCTCTTTTCTACGTTGCCGTACTACACGTTACGTACTGGCGTTAACATATAGATCGATGTCCATAAAATGCATACATAACACTAACGAGAATAAAAGGAACAGCAGAAAATTGATGGCCAACTATTTCTACTGGTGTGTGTACATGTATATGCTTGCTGGTAGTATTTAGACGAGCCTTACATTTCCTTCAACAAGGTTGACCGCGGAAACGCTAGCGCGTACCTAAAAACCGAGCAGTGTGAAACATTCTCCACCACTAGAAGCCCGTATGCCGTTGTTGCTTCAAGAGGCGAGGTGACAATCAACTTTAATCCAATACGACCTTTTTCCCATACTGGATACAAACCCCGCAGTACAATGCTGTGTGCCAATAAAACAGGCAGGCAGCCGGAAATTGGACCTGATCGAAAAAGTTGTGTGGAGGCCTGACTGTCGCCGGAAAAGACCTGCTTAGAAAGGAGCCGGGTCACTGAATCACATATACTGAATACTTAACGTTTACTTTGGACAACATAAAACGACTGTATGGTTTGAAACTGCCGCGAAGAGTTGGATAACTCTGCTAGCTCTAATCGATTTAGTCTCGAATTGGCACTAGAAAATCGATGCCCTTTAGGTCTGAGCAATGCAATATGTACGAGAGATGTTAATTATAGTTGGTTATAACTAATTGTCGTTCCATGGCGAAGTTCAGATGGCTCAATATAAACGTCTCTAGACTATAATCTACCTCGCAGAAAGGATCTATTTCAAGGTAAAATCTCTCAATTTAGTACAAAATTGCTGAGTTTTCTTAATCTTTTTAAAGTACCTTTCTGAAAATTTCAGTCGTTTTTACAGACTCACCGCTATTTCTGGCTGATACAATATTTTACATTAATAGTTGAACGCTCAAATAGAACTCTGCTAACAGCACATTATAATGAAAATAATTATAATCAGGACAGTTAAATCAGTTACATAAATCCTGGCCTTAATTTTCGAATGTTCGTCGTAAGGGATCTTGCTATAGGGCTTTCTACACACATGAAATAAATAGATTACAGACTATGCCTGGCGAAATCTAAAACTGAAAATAATGTCTTAATGGTCCGCAAAAAAATTCGTTCATTTCTTCGTTTTTGACATATTCCTGATAATTGAAGATATAAACGCCACGACAAATCCCTTTCGAAGCCGTTCTATATGCTAGTTTCATTAGTGTGCATATAAGGCTAACTAACTGCTACCAGCTTTGCTATCACCCATTTTCACTGGAAATTTGAAAATTTCAAGTTGTCACGCAAACCGTGTCACCGTGCGTAGAAACGTTTGTCTGGAACACATTCAACTATATCCAGTGGTTCGACACTGAGTAAATGGTCACAGCGTTTGAAACCCTGATGCGATCATCGATCTTACGATGCACTACTAGCATTCAGGCAGTCTGGTCTATCAAAGACCCGGGCTGGGTCATTGGCTCGGGCTTTTCGAAAACACAAACTGGCCAAATTGGCTTTCTATTGAACAAAGCAGCGATGATAGCATAATCATAGCGATAGCAAATTTCGTAGAGTAGCTTTGCTTCAAAAGATGATCGCGCGTCGGTTGCAATCTTGCGTATATACTACAAAAAATCCCGTCGTTCTCTCCACGCCTGAATAACTTAATTTTGATTAACGAAAGCGAGTTCGGTGGTCTTCTACGAAACGGAGTTTCGACGATCGGCAGCCCTACGATTTACCGAACCGATGATCGCTTTTATAAATCGGTTAAAAGCACAATAGAGATAGGAAGGGAGTTCAAAAGAAATACCACGAATGTAAACATCGCTAACATTGAAAGGTCGAAAAATAACATTTCAAAAATACCGTTTTCTTCCGGGAGGGCCCTGAACTGTTTTCGAGAAATTTCTCAAGAAAGCGTCTAACCCTACCAAGGCCCAGCAAAACATTTCATCTGGTTATCTTTTTACCTAGAGGCGGATTTTAACAAGGCACTGTCTTATTTCGTACACAATTTCCATAATCATTAATGTAGCAACTATTCATATGACATACCCATAGTGGTTCTCTCGCAGTCAGAAATAACGAGTTTACTAATAGATTTCTAGGTACGTTCCCATCGGATACGATGTCGGACCAATTCTGGTTGTTACCGCTCAGTACAAGCAATGCTTACGATGTTGTATACGACAATGAAATAACAATGTACTGAACAACGTCGTCATGGCGTAGAAACGTGACCGAGGGATACCTGGAAAATCTGGATGATAATTATTATTATTTAAATACCCGCAACCTGTATAGAAAAACGTTTCACATATAGCACAATTGATACCGCTGCACATAAATACACTTACGATAAATTGTGATTTTAAACATTCTGTTAATATTACATATGTGGGTGAGTGCGCGCGTAGAAAAGGCACGAGGCATGCTAAGCTGTTCCTACTGGATAGTCTTGTTTCTTTTCGTCCGCCATTATGATGACAATCTTTCCGCTGGTCTCTTGAACTATTCTTGTTATTTGTAGGCCTCTCGGTGCGTAAGCAAGTTTTGTCCTGAAACAACAACGTCAGCTTTTCCGCTATCACCTATTATATCATCGTCTAAGCAGACCACTTCCTTATCACACGCCCTATGATTGGAAAATACGCTATCTAATTTGATTCAGCGATCATAGACAAAGAAGCCCGACCACGTAGGTAATGACGGTGCCCATTTGTCTTATTCTACTCAAGTTAAGGAGAAATAACTGAAGACTGGGTTTACGTGCTTTATAGTTCAGCGTCAATTGGCTTGAGTCGGTGCACGTGCGTTGAGCAGGCGTGGCCACGCCACCGCTTTTGCGTAAGACGTGCATAGTGTGCACTTTGCGGCAGTTGGTTGGTAATCTCTCTCGTTGGAAAACTCTTACCAGAAGTCTTATAAGACGAATCTGATTGTAAAGTGTACTCATTTCTATATCTAAGAACACGAGCATGTAACATAAATAGCTAACCTATGACAGTGATAGTCTTCACTGTACAATCGTTTACCTTTTGATTGCTAGACAAGTAGTTCAGACTGGCCAGCATGAGTCGGTTTCATAGAAGTTATAGGAAGATCTTTAAGCTGAACTAGCGTCCGGTGTCTTTGACAGTTTCGAGTCCTTTGAAAGCAGACGCTTCCAAGCTGCGTCTCATTATTTCACCTCAGTAAAATAGTCTACAGTTAGCATTGTCTTTTACATCATCATTCACATTACGTTACTGGGCATCTTTGCATCGTTGCTATATTTCTCCATTGTCTACACTGACGTAACGGCAGGGCCCTCGTTTGCTACTATCAGGCTCACTATTTCGAACATTCGTTTTTGCTACGGCACTACATCAAAAAAGCCCTATACGTGCCAAATGAGAGGCAACCGGACGCGAAGGAGATAGCGCGAAGTGTGGTGAAAAGTGGTACCTTGCGGCTAGACAGCTGTACTCTTGCTAGCTTAGACGTAACGACGTCGTTACCTAAAAAGCTATGCAATCGTTTAGCTGCACGAACCGTATCCTGAAGTGCCGAGGGATCTGGGTCGATACAGGTCGATTGGCTTTGTTCGTCTTTTCATTCCTGGGCCTCGTGTCGTTCAGTTTCGCTTTGTTACTACAACTGATCCTTTGCACCACGGGCTTAGGGTCTTGTAACAAAAAAAACTAACCTATAAGAGACGACAGGGCAAGGTAGTAACATTTATTGTTAATCCGGATTAATTAGCACGATAGTATAAGAACAATTACAGAGGCAAGTGCCTTCAAACAACTGCCATTCGTGCGCCCGTCGTAGCATATTTACGTTACGTTACGTTACACACAGACAAAACATGTATGATAATTGCATAGATGTTTACTCAGCATAGGCTATATCGATTGCCCATTCCTGGCTGTGAACGGGTTTTGACGCTGCCAGGAATTAAGCATGCGTATCGTATATGAAAAGATTGTTACGGTTTGTTTTTTATTTTGGATGATGATGATGATGATAATATTCACACTAAGTGAATGTAAATCGTGATGATGACACATGTGAGAATTTCGTCACTATGCAAAGGTATTTTCGTCAATCTAATGGTTTGTTACGTAACGATTGATTTTAGCAGTTGCCTTCACAGTTTGCAATTGTTCAGTTCAGTCAATACACAAACCCTCGCTAATTCTAAAGCATTTGGCGAAGATGGTAGCCTTAATGGTACAACCTAGGGGCGTTTACTAAAAAAAACGGCAGGTAACAGTGCTGTACCAATTTTAAAGCTTTCGTATACCTTCTGCACTTCGTTTTTCTTATAAAATACACACACTATCGAAACAAATTTCGTGCGGAGATTCGGGAACTAGAGGTGGACTCTGCAGGTGCTTCAAGCGGCAAGGCACCGTTTGAGAAATGTCTGCTATTAGCGTCGACCACTCAACGGCCGATTTGAGCCGAACGCACTTTAAAATGGGCCGGTCACTGCTCGTCACCGAGCGTCCCTCCGCAGATCTGTCGGCCAGTCGATCTGTTCCCCAATGATCTTCTGGCAGAAACGAATCATTGTCATTTCAGTGGACATACACACATACAGAGGAACTCTTATTTGCCTCAGTCTCCGCGCCGATCTTTGTCCATTAGTGTCGTTGTACACAGTATATACGAACCGCACGCTATATGTCGTAAAATATATAGCCCACTATGAGAGGTGATTTTTTCGTAGAGACAGTGCGAGGTCTTAAGGCGGCTGTCCTCTAAGGTACGATCTTTTCAAACGGCTCGGACTCGGCTGAGCAAACTCAACCTTCAGAGTACGCAGGTCAGACGAAATGCCGCTGCTCTGAAGAATGGCATTGGAGATGCCGAGCGTACACACGATGAACGACTGGGCTGATGGCCAACGTAGAGAGAAAAGGGAGAGCGTAAAAAATCAGTTCCATCTGAGAGTTCGCAGCGCACTATTTTAGTGTCAACTGCTAAATCTTTTACTACCTGATGACGCCGCTGAAAATAGCGCATAATTGCGTATTCGTACACCGTAACTGGCATCTGCATGAAGATATTGCAACAACTTGTCAAATACACGATCAACAGTTCGAATTGTTCTTCCAAGTGATGCTCTTCACAATTAATGGTGAGTAAGCAAATTTCAAACATAAGACTAATTAGACTAGCTGACTCGAAGGCCCGAAGCTAAATATTATTCCGCTATAAAAGCTTCACTGCAAGTGGAAAAAGGTGAAGGCCTTTTTTGTCAAGAATTCGAAATTCTGCCTTAATGCCCAAGTGCCACTTGTCGTATTTACCGAAAGTTTAGTATGAGCTTGGAGTAACTAGGTTTGGCCTGAGTTGATATCGCTGAGTTGTCGCAAGGTATTTGACCGTATCGGATGGTCCAATTTAATTGCTATCGTCTTTCAGCTGGCAAAACCTTTATGGGGTTAACACATAATGGGGTGCAGGGCCGAAACCGTTCGGTTCCAGTGCAAGGGTCAGGCCAAAAAATAGGTAAATTTGCGTTATCCTATATCTTTCCCCATGATTGCAAGCTGTCACGCGAAAACGGTAGTTGTAGAGATTGCACTTGGAACATATCCCGTTGCTTAAAGCGCACCGTCGTTATAACTATGCTGTTATATTATACAATGGTGAAGCAGTAATGGACTCTTATGAAAATGGCGAACATAATTCACGGAACTAGTACTCTGCGGCTCCCATGCCAGTCTTAAGATGCTTGATGACGTAGCCAGGGGCATTATGATGTCCAGTCCTGAAAAAGTATTAAATGGCGTTCTGTTACGTAATGCACAGTCCAATCTGTCTTAGAATATTCGAGTTTTACCGGCAAAACGAGAGACGCTACAAATCTGCCAGAAAACAATATCGACCCGGGTCCTACTTAATCTATTAGGAACATTGACGGTTGTTTACGTCGTACCAGATACTAAAACGTGATGTGCTACGATGACGATTTTCGCACTTGCATCACTGCGTTTATCGTCCGCTGTTCGTTTTACTTTTGTTAGAAACAAGTGTTTTAGCTTTTCTAATTGTGAAGCTGGTAGACAAGTTACATGAGGCGATACATTATAAAGGACGGGAACGAAGCGTATAATATTCGTAACAGGCCGATAAACGGTGCACGCCTGAGATGCTCGTACGTTAAGTAAAGCCTATCAATACTATGATATCATTGCGACAGCGAATAGTGCGTTCTGTGGCTTCGTAGATTCTACTGTACTCATCTCTCCTCGTTGCTATACAAAACACTACAAGCTGGTACCGTAGATAGTTTTATGCTTGTTTGAGAATAGACTTATCATACCTTGTTGCGAGATATTGAACGGAAGACTTATTTCATCTTCTTGACAGCAGCTTTTTTACATAGTCCGCCTTTATCGTTGACGAAGGCGGCTATTGTAAAGCGCGATTGAAACTGTTGACAGGTTAATAGGAAGACCATCTAATTACTACCTGATGAAGACCTGATGCAAATGTAAACAACGCAAGTGCATAATAGGCTTTCGCGGCGGTGAGGCGGTCCGTATAACTTGTAATAGTATTTCAAGTGTCACCTTTGGTAACTAATGTCGAAGTTATAGGAAGGTCCTCGTGCTGAATGATTAGTCTAAAAATCCTTGTTACTTACGTTTCATCCATTACGGGTGTTTTTTAAAAAGTGATCTACTATTTTTTACTTTTCATTACGAAATAGATTAACGCGATACTTGTAATATACAAGAATAGAGGACAGCACGCCTTGCCTGGTTCCCTCAGACAAACACTTATATATAAATACTGATCATACTTAAAGAAGACATTTAGCTTTTCTTCAGCTTGCGTCCACCGACTGTGAGTACTATACGAATTCATAAGGTAGGTAGGGGTTAAAAATCACAGTTGCTGCACGAATGAGGTATGTCCTTATTAGAATAGAAAAAGGTTAAAGGTTGAAAGTTATTCACGAGGACATCCGTACTTCAAGTTTTGATGCGATATTAAGCATAATGCAGCCTAGTTCTCGTGACCTAGTCATCCAACAAGATTGCAAATTTAACTCTTTGACAAATGCATCACGCATCGCATATTTACCAGAGGCTAAACAAATCAAATCAGATATACCTTACCTGATTGTTTATCAGCCTTAATCGTTTAAATAACTCGCACATTGTTTAAAAAAATCACTTGGTACACACACACATATATATATATATATATATATATATATATATATATATATATAGAATTAACGATGTAAATTTTGTGAGCTGATTTCGATATTGCCTGAAGCGAGAACGCTCACATATGAACGATGAACGCCAAGATAAATTTACTCTTTTATGACTAACGCGCAGCTCAAGAGCCATCGTAAATTTACTAGAAGGTCATCTTTGCATTTAGGACCATATGTCGCCGAAAGCTCGCGAGAAATCGTCTGCTAGCTAGCTTCAGTAGTCGTCGCCGTAACCGCCAAGTCAATTTATAAGCGAAACCCTAAAGATACTTAAGGATAGAGCCGTGTTTTCGGTTCCCAAACGGCTGACTAATACATAATTATGGTCCTCGTGACCGTGAAACCCTTTGCAAAAGTGCAGAGAAAAAATACTTAAAGGGCAGCGTACAGAGAGACTGCTAAACGATAGCACAACTTTTTACTACTGCCACTATTAATACCTCTTCTACCACTTGAGCTATTGGCGGTCCCTATATATTCTGGGACCGGTGTGCTAGCATTATTCTCTTTACCTGATTCTGCTCAATACCACATCCTCGTATCCGCCAGCCTTACTCAAGGGTCCTCCACAACTTCTAGCAACCACCTTTGCTTTGCCCCCTGAACGTTCGTCGATATTCAGAGTAAGCCTAGTAGCCTGATCTCAAGGTCAATCACAAATGAGTGGTGAGATCTCGATCATCGGATTAATCAACCTAAGTGAGTTTGCGCGTCGTGAGGGATGGCCTTTTGATGTTTTTTTTTCCATTTTGTTTATACAGACTTTGTTCGCCCCCATAAATGTCCTCCTTAACGATGATAAATAATAAAATGCATCGTCACAATAAAGCGAACTAGACAGTACATTTGACTGAAGGTTGAGATCGCATGAGGGTTGTGTTGAAGCCCTAGAAGTGAAGCACCTCGCGTCAAATTATGAACAAGTATTCATAAAAAGGGAACGGTTACGAGGCACCTAATTCTTAGAGTACTTGCTTTATGGCAAATAAAGAGCAGGAAACTGCACCGTGTAGTCCCCGTATTTAACTCGGAAGACAATATAGCTTAGCCAATCATCAAAGTCCTTCATACCCAGAGTCTTCTTTTCATCGAACATGATCTTCTTGGTTCGATGCCATGTGTGGTCACCAGTGCATGGTAACTACGCATTGCATGGAGAGTACTATGGCGTTCCTCTTGATGCTTAGGGTCTCGCTATAAACCGGCACGGTTATCGTATAAATCTGGCCATCAGCGAAGAACAACGATGAACAGCGAAGTGCAATAGAGAACGCTGCTTACGGTACGAGTACCATTATATTGTAATAACGGCAAACTCGGGCTATGAGCAACTCAACTCTTTGAAGCGTTAGAGAATAAAGAATGGAAAGCTGTCACTTCAGTAATCACAAAAATGAAAATCACGATAAGTCGTACGGTGTATCGCCATATACCAGCGATATCATTAGATGATGCGGTATGAAATAGATATACCCATCTAAAATACTTTGACTTTCGAACTGAGTGACCGTTGAACGGTACTTTGAAGACCCGTGCATTATACATCTTGTATAATGCACGGGTCTTCAGATGCAGAGCGTAATAACTAATTTGATGGCAGCACTGCGCATCTACAACGTGGGTGCGCCAATAGACTACTAACAAGTGCATAGTAATCTAAAGTAGAAAAAAAAAAGTAAGCTAGCCTTTCTTAATAAATCGATGTTTTATTATATGTGCTTTTTGCAGAAGGACGATATCCTGAATGAATCGAAAACGAAAGACTAATAACTGTGTAGATTAGACGAATTCGGACAGAAGGCTTAATCAGTCAGTTCAACTGTGGATATATTTAACATCCCCGATGGAATGCAAAATGGTAACTAGTGCTATGTGCATTTAAAAACAGAGTTTGAGTTATGAAATAAATACAAACGTTTCATTTGTGTGTTATAGGTTATTTTACAGAATCTAACGGCATAAAGAAACAAAAACGAGACTGATAAGCGTTGTAAATATCAACTACAAAAGTTTTCCTGTTAGTTAGACATTACTTTTTTACCTCTTTTCCGAAGTTCGCTTCTCGAGCAATCCTTCGCATCGATATGGACAGCGAGGAACGTGACCTTAGGCAAGGCAATGCGCACGTTCTCCTCACAAAGGACTGGAATGATTGGTTTGACCACCGAGTCGCGATGCTTCGGGCAAAGTATGATGAAGCCCGTGAAGACTACCAGGAGGTTTTCAGCGATGACAATGCTCTCTACAGCGACGAAGATCGGCTACGTGCGCGGGAGCTCCTGGATAACGTCGACTTCAACGAAGAATACCTCAATCAAGCCGTGGCTATCATCGATGTTTTACGAGCCACCAATAACCCTAATCGTCAACGCGCTAACGAAGCTGACAACATGATGAGAGACCTTGAACGACTAGGGGCTACGGATCGCCTTGGGGGTGGAGAGATTGTGGAAGTGCCTCCGGCGCCGCAGTTTGATTTCAATTCGAACGGCCGGGAGCATAGTGACTCCTCGGAGCACTCAAGGTACATCGATGAAATCGGATTGTCGCGAGACCATACGACAAATCATTCGAGCGAAAGACATTCACATCAAATGGATCTACGCGTAGACGGACCGAGTGGGTCGAGAGGTCACCTTATTACCCCATGGTATGAGCGTCAAGAAGTGAGAAGCGTTCTATCGCAGGAGGCGAAGAAAGCCGAATCCCAGAGTACGGACGATGACGCGCCGGAAGACCTACTGGAGGACGTATCGCCGCTCGATTCGCCCTCTGATGAGGATGACTCATGAACCACCCAAGTGCATAAGGATGTAAGGTTGCGATCGTAAATAGACCTAGCTAGTTAATAATAACTAGGACTCGAAATCTGTTATTACTAAATGGAAAGCTGAAAAACCTGTTCGCGGAAAAACTGTTTGTGTAACAAACCCGTGCTTGTATTCCTACAGATTGGATCAAACGATGTTCCTCAACAGTGCGGTGCTTTCGTATTCATCATATAATACCTTACACATACGAAGCATGACGCCATGCTGCTTTATCCTACTATAATGTCGCAGAAGCTCGTATTAGGCCGTAGGTCTGCAAAGTTGTCAGATCGAAAAGAATAAATTGAAACAGATCATCGATCGACATACGGGACGCACTGATCCCATCGTGAAATTTTCATCGTCAAGAGTGCTCGCTGTTCTGAAGATATCACAATTATATACATTGTATATACGTAGTTAACTTAACCTAAACTAAATGAATTTAATAAAAGAAATTTTATTTAATCATTGTTGCATCGTAAATCGGTTTACTTGTCGTTCAGTTAACGCATAATCTAATGTGAGTTTTGACGTCCTCTATTCACTAAACAGGAGTAAGAAGATTTGTGAGTTAACGTTATTGATAATGATTTTGATCTTTCTGTTTACTCTGTCTACTCCATATCATCATCTACTGTCTCAGCGTTCAACGATGGATAATCTCATCGGTCGGAAATCTGGCATAGGAAGCAGGGTATTGACGAAGTGGGCTCGCCAAACAAGTGTTGTTGTTGGTATTATGGTTTACAGAGGGAAGCCCAGCTAGACATATGGGCGTCGATAAAGGAAATCATCGAAACACCCTGATACTCGTATTTTCTGTAGCAAAGATACACGGACTGCCAGAGTAACAACCTCACATTCGTCTGGGTCAGCAGAACCGCATTGGTGTTGTACTAATAATACAGTGCTGTTTTGACGGATGACCCGATAAACTTGCTAGATCACATTAGCGATTGCTGAAATCGCTGCTCGCTACTATTTTAGCTTTCTCCAAAGATCCTCTGTGTTCAATATAGATTCAGACCTCACTTGAACGTGTATTGCAAGAGGCGAATGCTACAGGAGGCTGCTCGCAAGAAAAGTGTGATCGGTTAAGCGGCGCCGTAGGTCGGTGTGTCTCTATCTGTGTATGTGTATGTCAACGTGCAATATCGGTTTAAGCTATAGTGAAACCATATCACATGCATACGATCTGTTTCCAAGCTCGCGTCATTTCATCGGATGAGACAACTATCCTTGCTGCTGCTGCTGCCTCCGCCGCCGTTAGCCAAAAGATCGTCTGGGACAGTCAAGTATATATATTATATAGTTTGCTGTCTTTTCTATAAATATCAACTGGCACACATGAAAATGGAGGCGCGCCTCGCTGTACCCTAATGCTCGGTCTGTTGTTCCCGATAAAAATCCGAAAAATACATTTCCTCTGCCTTCAAACTAAGCACTCAGAATGCTACCAGCAGGCGGAAATAGACGAACAAATAAAGGTGAAATGTTAAATCAGCTGCTGTAACCGTTGGTACTATCATGCACACTATGGGTGCCGTGATTAAAATCGATTAGTGGCAGCCTGGCGGGCGTGGTCGGATCTGCTTTAACGTCGTAAGGTGTGACGACGCGTTCCTCTCGCGGTCAAGTAAAATGAACGGGCATCGTAACGCTGGTTGTCGCCGACAAGATTCAATAGAACCATTTCCCGCTTTGATCTAACGATGACATCTTTCCCATGACCTGCTAGCCAGCGAGGGAGTCCCTTTGGCATTGCTTTTTGGCAGTATCTATGTGCATCTCCATCGAGTCAGTGCGTTACGAAGCGTTAGTAACTTCGGTATTATCAAGTACGTGCGTTGTAACGGTTCGAATGTCTATATCCTTCACAGATTAAGCTAGGTAGTTCTTTTTAATAAAAGAATGTATCCCAATCTTGTCCCGTTCCTCGTATTGTCTTTGCCTGATCTCTTCATTTGAACGCTGTATTCTTAAATAGAAAATATCACTAACTATTCATTATCACACAGATATTTGAAAGTTTTCCTCTTAGTCGGTTCTCGACCGCTAGTAATTCCCAGTTCTTGAATGTTATCGGACACTCTTCTGCTGCCCGTAGTAACAGAAGCCATGAGGTGGGCGGGTTCACATAGCCTGGTAACAATACATATTTCAGACGTATCCCTCTGCATGATTCATAAATGCACGCGACACTGCTGGAAACTCCTTTATACCAATGCAGTTGTTTGTTGTCTTCAACGAATCATTCAGATGAGAAGGTGGAATGGAGATACTGTCAGCACGACGTGGCCTGCACGGACAAGGTATATAAGGGGTTCCAATGCGGCAACGACATTCTACAAGAGAAAAATGTTCGTCGTAAAATATTTGTTGTGAAATGTATATGTTATATATTCTTTCATTAGGCGCGTTCGGTCAAATGCACGTGGGTGTCGTTGTGTAAGAACTGCACGGCCACGAGCAGCCGGGAACTATGTAGTTATAAGCTGATTTAGAGTAGTAATTTCCACTGTCCTAGAGCCCATCAGCTTCTGAAAAGGCAAATCTAACGCTCTCTAAGAATCGAAACATTTTTGGCAAGTTTCAAATCCACGTACGTAAAAGGGATTTCCTTGCCGACTCCGGCGCAGATATAGACCAACAAAATCTGAGGTGACTCGGGAAACAGCGACCGAGGTATGAGTCACTCAAAGGCAGACCAGTTATGGAGAGAATGACTACGGAAAACAGCGACAAAACAGTCTTGGCATCAGAAACTGGAATGCCAGAGGAAACTGTGGCGGCCATTGTGGAAACTGATAGTCTAAAATAGCTTCCAAGCTATAGATCAATCGCAAGCCATAACTGCTGCAGGTTTCTGTTGTAATAACAATTTAACTAAAAAGATGTCTAGTTGGTAAGACCAACGAGAATAAAAAAAGGTATCAGTTATGTCGAATATGCAAGTTATTAGCATATGATTTAAACACAAGGTGATACGATTGGTCATCGAGTACTGAAACGGTTTTGTAAAAGCACAGATGTAAAAAAAAATGTTTTCGCTGTCAGCATTTATTTGGTTATATGAAAAATTCTCAGGGTGCATAGTTGTACAATCTTCGAAACCGATTGTTGTCGAGCCTAAACTAATAAACGGTAAACACTGAATTCAACCTAACTCTCATTTTTCTGATGTCATCTTGAACCGTCCGCTACAAAGACAGCAGATATTGGACCATCAATTATGTATCATACAATAATCTTCTACGTAAAGAAAGTCATTGATCGAACACGTGGGCCAAATGATTGCTCCTGGATTTGAACATTTTAAAAAGTCTGCGGCATCTACTTATTTTGTAGGAAGCATGTCGCGTATAGTGCCTATAAATATGGCACGATTGGCAATACCCCATCGAATATGATTGTGTTTGTTAAACCTGGACATGGCTGCAGTTTGGCCAGTCGCTTTATATGCATGTATATGCACACACACATGCACAGGAAGCAAATAGGGATTCATTATCGAAGCAAGCCCAAACGCTACCTGTTTCGCGGAAAAATTTCATCAAAAATCAAGAGAAAATTAATAACATGCAGAATTGGAAATAACTTTTATCAATCCAATATTTCGGAAAGGTCTTGTAGTAAGGTGTCAGAGGGCAAATAGAACGAAAGAGGAAGACCTTCACGGGGTATTTCGAGTCTACACCGTGCGCTTGGCCTCTTGTGAAGCTAGGAGTTTGTGCGATGGAGTAGTTTGGAAGAATGAGTTAAACAGGAGTAACACTTATAATGATGAATATATCTATTTTGTTATTGATAAAAGACTCTACGTCCTTTCAGGACGAATTCTGCACGGAGCTAAAGTGAAATATAGGAATTGGCGAACGTTTAACTTTGTCTTTTCTTTTCTAAGAATGCTGTAGCATCCATCAGTATATTATAAACATTAACTTCATCGAACACGTGTACGCTAAAACTATTGTTATTGATCTCCACTTCCACCTCCTCAGCCGAACGGCAACGGTTCGGGTGATAGTGTCTTTGTGGACAGAACTACCAGCCATTTTGCCTAGCTTTCGAGCGTTACTGGTCACGATCATCTGGGAGCATACACTACTTAGTTGTGACGCACTGAATACGCTTCATGAAACTATGCTATGTATTGCTGTTCAGCTTATAGGCTAGAAGGCCTGTAGAAAAGCCCAATTTCAAGCTCCCAGCTCGCTTCGCAGGCATTTTATAAACAATCGATGTATATCGCATCGACGTGTCTGTTCCATGTTCTCGTAGGTAATCATCTCATGGACTTCTAGCTTTTTTTTTTTTTGTTTCACTAAGCTATCGAATAATACGCTCAAGACATGCAGAAATGCAACACAATCTTAGTCTTATAGGCTGAGGGTAGCCCCATGCAGGACCACATCTTCCATGTTTATTTTAGATGCTGTTGTCTTATGTTGTTGCACTATGGTGCAGCTGTAACCTTGTGCGTGAACTCGAATGGCTACCGTTAAACAAGCTACAGGCCAAAAACGATGATTAGCATACATATAAACGAAAAGTCATATAAAAACGCAATTTTTATCGCTGTACACATGAAACAAACTCAAATCTCATTTAACCTCACTCTGTTCCGGGTTTCGATCACCCCTAAGTAATCGCTGGCTATAAGACAAGAGAAATGTTTGTGGCTCTCACAGGTTACAGCAAAAATTGCACTAATCAGTCGAAACGGTGTCTGGATCTGATCAAAACGATATGTCAGAATCGAACATGCACTGTTGCTGTACTAACAACATAGAATTATAATTGGGGAAACCGCAGGAGTTTTGCCTTGATCCTGCCTGCCAATAGATGTTAAAATATGTGAGTTACTAAGTAACGTGACGCAAAAGAATTCCATGTGACAAATTTTAATACGACCCAATATGCTATATCTTTAAAACTGAGACTGGCAATAGTCTAGCCAGACTGGCAAAAAAGGCCTCATTTAAGCCTCCGAAGATAAGTGCGAGGAAAGAGTACTAATCAGACATACGCCGGTTAGCATACGTTGCACTTCGACTATAGGCTTTCATCTTGTCCTTCTGCGAACTTGAACAGTCTTAGTGTCCACTAAGGTCTCGCTTGTAAATTCTCAAAACGTACGTTTGATACTTAAGGATCTCACGATAGCTATCGTCTTTATCGCCTATATACTAAGATATTTGAAATTTCATTTACCGGAAAGTAATGAACTTCCAAGAGATAGACCGCTCTAATCCGGGAAACCAGTGTAACATCTTTTTGCAGTTGCGCCGTCGAAGAGTTTTCCCTCACCCTATTCTCTGTCTGAGCGTTTCATATAACTAGCAATAGGCCGCAGGGCTTATGGGCCTAAATCGATGCAAAAAGAATCAACACGAAGACTAAATATCTACGCAGACTCCT